AGCCCCAAATATAATCCACTCTACAACCCTCATTGCATACTCCTACGGTAAAAATAATGCCCTAAAATATAATACTTTTAGACTATTCTCTCTCCCATAGATTTCAATGGCGAAAACTTTTAAAGTACGGTTCTACTCTTAACATATATAAATCAGGATTTACTTGACAGCAATTATTTTCCTAAAAAAAAAGTCATATCCACCAATTCTGTTTCTTCCATCTTAATATTTATTTGCCTCTTCCAAGGAGTCTACAAATTAGACAAGCTTTGTATTCCCTTGCTAGAAACCGACTGCCTTTTACTTCAATAAACTCTTTAAGTATTTCCATAAGTTATGTCTCAACTTGTCCAAAGTAAAATAGTGAGTATACTATACCATTGGCCACCCCGTCTGTAAAGCTCATATTACAAAAATGCACACTCTAGGCAGAATCTGGGAAATACCATCTTCAAAATAAGTGGTGTCATACTGTTAAATTTATTACCACAGAGTCAATTAAAAACAGCACTTGTGAGGTGATTAAAAATAGCATACCAGGTAAAATTGGCTGTCCAGCGATCCCCATGGGTGCCATTCCAAGATTATTCATGGCTGTGGCCCATGCATTTGGGTCAGACATAGGTAGAGTCATTGCAGTAGAGTCCACATTCAGGGTTCTATTACTATCAGCTGAAAAAAATGACAAACAAATAATTGGTGGTGTTATTATTCCGGAATCTACCTATCAGTATGTAAACTCTGGAAAACTCTTTACATTAATGGCCTGCTACAAGTGGTGTATAAGGCCTCAATGTCAAGATTATTTTTTCATAAGGATTAAGCCAATATAGACAAAATAGCAGGAAGTCATAGAATTTGAAAGCAGTTTTACAAGATATTTAGTGTAAGAGTTTTTTAGTGTAAGAGTTTCTTCTTCCCTCCTTTCCTCTCTTTCTTCCTGCCATCACCTTTTCTTCCCCCATGTATACACTCCACAGGAACTTGGATTGATTAAGAGGTTTTCTATTCTTCTCATAGTTTATGTGAATATGATTACTTCAGAAGTTTCATCCAAACCACTCATGCATCCAAACAAACAAAAAATAATTTTAAAAATCGAAGGACTTCTGCAGTTGGCTGTAAAATATGGAAATTACACTTCTGATGCAATTTCATATCTTTGAGGCAGTACCATTGAATACAGCTGGATATATAATCAAGAGACATCAAATTAGCCAGCTGAGTATTTTGGGGGTTGGAGAATGCTGGAGACAAAGCAGACAGGAGTCATAGCCCCTGCACTGAAAAAGTATGCAATTTATTGGAGGAACTGATGATGATGATAATGGTTATTAGTATTACCACCACTATCATCACCTGTACCAGTATTATCATTACTAATTACTGAACACTTACCATATATTTGTTAGGTAAAGCACTTGAGATGCTATTCTCATTTAACTAACTGAACCACCTTACGACAAATAGACTATTTAGACCTCTCTTTAGTAGATGGGAGGTTTAGAAAGGTCACATATATTGTCCATGGTTTTAAAGGACAATATATGTGCCTTTTACTCCCTAAGCTTTACCGTCTCCAATTATACAAATGAGAAACAATGAAGTATTTTGAAGGATGTGGACCAGAAATATTACTTTAGTTTAAGGAAAGAAGTACTACCATGGTCTAAGTGGGAAAGGTTTCACAAGAAGGTGGACTTTCAAAGGATGGAGCTGATTTCAAAAGAACATGCCTTGCGTAGTAGGCAGGAATTGAAGAGGTAAAGAAGAGGGGAAGAGACATTCCAGGATCAGAGATGACATATGTAAAGACACAGAAACAGGCGATTCTAAATGTGCACGCACATACTATACAGCTGGGAGAGATTATATCTAGGCCTACTCATCTAAACACAAAAAAGACCTTTATTTTGAAAAATTTCCCTCTCACTATTGATAGCCACAGGAAAAACTTTCTATGGTTTCCCTCCTACCTTGCAGTGTGGATTCTTGTCAATTACACACCTAAAGGCAACTCTTTTCTAACAGTAGCTAGTTAATGTCCATCATATCCTTCCAACCTGGCAACACCAAGGGTGGTCCACGGCCAGGTTATTTATACACATGTTATTTTATTCATTGATTGCTCAGAACAAGCAAAAGCAAATGTCTAAAAGCACTATTTACTGAAAGATGGTTTTTGTCATTCTTCTATGCTACCAATGCCTCCTCTCCCACAAATCACACTCCCCCCCCCAGCCCCAGAGTGATTGATGGCTGTGAGCATTCATTACTGCTGTCAGAAATCAGATTTCAGAACCCGTGATTTCTCCATCCTTAAGAACTCTAGCCCTCATACTCAGGTTTCAGTGCTCTCTCATAAAGGCATATCATAAGGCTAGAAATAGCCTCCTTGTAAATATTATCGAGAAAACAAACATGGGTGGTCAAATAGCCTCTGCGTCAAGAGTTTATACAGCGATAGAAAGGTCTACCTAGACTCTCAATTCTTAGAGGATATAACTATTTTGGGGAGTGATACAGCCAAAATGAAGTCTGGTTGTACAGTGTTTAATGTACTCTGCTGCCAACCCAAAGGTTGATGGTTCAAACCCACTAGCCACCCCACGGGAGAAACACATTGCAATTTGCTTCTGCAAAGATTTATGGCCTTGGAAACCTTATGGGGAAGTTCTACTCTTGATAGCAACAGGTTTGGATTTTTATAGCTGGAAGAGGAATTCCTGGGTGGAATAAACAGTTAAGTGCTCCACTCTTAATTTAAATGTTGGAGGTTTGAACTCATCCAGTGGTGCCTCAGAAGAAAGGCTTGGTGGTCTACTGCCAAAAGCTCACAACCTTGAAAACTGTATGGAATGCAGTTCTACATACATGGGGTCTCCAGGAGTTGAGACTGACTTGGTGGCAATGAGTTACAGCTCAAAGAGTCACTGTGAGTTGGAATTTACTTGAGAGCAACTGGTTTGATTTACTGACATAGCTCAAAAGGCCTTGAGACATCAGAGTCCACATCCTGCTGTTCTTGAGGGGCAGGAAATACCTAGGTTCACAGACCTTGGGGACCTCAGTGCCAAAATAATTCTACTCGCTTCGTGGTACTGGGAAATGAGAAATTCTCTCAGCGAGAGTTTTGAGAGGAAAGAATATGAGAATTTGCAACGAACTAAGAAAGCCAACTTCGAATTACTTTGAATATTGGAGGGGGGAGACAATTATCTACATTTTCAGATTTTAAAAAAGACTGTGCTGTACTGTTTTCATAAAATATAGTAATTCAAAGTGCCTGTTAAAATGTTGGCAAGTAGAGGTCCTGAGAGGCTTGTTTACATGAAGGATCATGTGTAATTAACATCATTGTTTTGCCACAATGAAGGTGGTTCTTAAGTTCTTAAGAAATTCTGTTCCCACTGCCTGCCTCATCTCCATCCTCTCCCACAACATTCACCTTTACCTGGCAAATTCTACTCATTTTTCTAGGGTCATCTCAAATGACACCTTTTCTGTGAAGATGCCACTTCACTGTAATTAATTACTCCTTATGTGTTCCAATGGCCTTTTATCTAGAATTTTAGTTCCATGTTTCTTAATTCACTTCCTCCTTCTCCCAACCAAATTTATGTTTACATCTTATTGGCAAAACGTCTCTCATACTTTGGGCATGTTTCTAGGAGAGGCTATTTCTTGGGAAGCGACATCGTGCTTAGAAAGGTAGATGGATGACAAAGTAGAGGAAGACGGTCAACAAAACGGACTGCCACAGTGACTGCAGCAACGGGCTCTAGTGTGTTAGAGATTATGAGGATGGCACAGGAAAGGACAGGGTTTAGATCTGTTGTTCACAGGGTCACTATGAGCTGTACTTGACTTGATGGCACCTTGCAAAACATATGCTGAGTCTCTGCTAGAGAATAAGAACAAAACTCATTTAGTCTTCTGGAAGAACACACAATCTAGTGAGAAAGAACACTAACATGCAAACATCCAAATGTAAGTTTTTATAAGTGATATAATAAAACTAGGAGTAATGTGATATGGGAACAGTGTTGTGGCTGTGTGCCGTAGAGTAGGAACGGACTCATAGCTGACCCTCCACAGGGTTTATAGAGGTAGACAGCACGGGAGGAGAAAGCCCATTGTTTTCTCATGGAGTATCTGCTGGATTCCAACTGCTTGCCTTTGGAATTGCAGTGCAGCTTTCTACAACACAATTGTTATGGTTAGGTGCCCAGAATCATGGAGCACTTAATTATGCTCCTGTGAAAGCTGGACCTGGACCCAGAGGCTGTTGTAAAAGAGAGCGAGGGAACACTATGTGCTTTAAAATGAAGAAAGATGTGCATCAAGGTTTCATCCTTTCTCCGTACCTATTCAATCTATATGCAGAATAGACCTTTCAGGAGGCTGGGCTTTATGAAGAAGAATGTGGCATCAGGATCAGAGGAAGACTCATCAATAACCTATGTTACGTAGATGATGCAACCTTGCTTGCTGAATAGGAATTTCACACAATAGGAGTGATTAAATTTGCTGGAATAAGCCTTGTATGCGTGGATAGGGTTGGGGAGCTGGAGGAACATTAGGAAAGCTTTCACCGAGAAAGAATCATTTGAAATGAGTCATTAGAGAGGGTTGGGTACAAGAGCATTACAGGAAGCAGTGACAACTGAGCTTCTATCATTGCAATATAGCTACTGTGTCTCTCTTCTGGTCGCCTTCAAACTCTTTTAGGCGAAACCAAAATCAAACCAAGTGATCCTGACTTGTAGGAACAATACAGGGCAGAACAGAACTGTCCCATAGGATTTCAAACGGTGCAATCATTACCGAAGCAGACTGACTCATCTTTCTCTCGAAGGGCAGTTCCATCCACTAACCTTTAAGTTAGCAACTTGCCCCTGAACCATTTCACCAAGAGGGTTCCTTGAGGTCAAGGACTGGGTTTTGGAGATCTTTGTATCCTCATTACTTAGTTCAGTGTCTGGTATATAGTAGGTATTCAAGAGACATTTAAATGAATGATACAGATACAGAAAATCAACTTAGATTGATTTGGGCACAATAAGCAATCTACATTATGGGCACTCAGATTGATAATTGATCTCCATTTTTCTGAATGATATGTCATCTTAAAAGGGATGGCAGTATTGTTAAACTGATTTTCTCTTCAGGACAACTTAATTTACACACAGAAATTTGCAGAGTGTTACAACCAGAGACAGAGGCACCTAACTAATATTTCAGTTTTATCTCATTAGCGGTAATATTTTTTTTCCATGTAGGCACAGTCACACATATAAGCAAGCTTGTAAAATTTGACTTCAAAGAGAAATTAGGGATGATCATCTCTGTCTGGTAGCAATCTGGATTTCAGAGCTGCCCTAACAAAACAGGCTGGGCTAAACATCTGTTCAGAATCAGTGCAACAAAGTTAAGCCCTAGCCTGATTCACTTTCTAGACTAAAAATGGACACGCAGCAACTTCTTGAAGTGTTTAGTCAAAGTCGTCCCTTGTCACCAAAGGAAGAGCTTGCTCATTTCCCATGATTCCTACAATCACTGTCAGTGGGCAAGGATACTCAAAAGGCAAGTACTAGGAGCTGTCAAACAGGCTTCAGAAAACCTCATGAAGTCTGGAGACCAACATGCCCCGCCATGCTGGTTCTCTAAGG